CCTTGCCCAGGGTGTCAGTCCTGCCCCCTGTGCCCACCATCTACAGCATCAGGCCTCTCCTGTGTGCCCATCACCCAGAGCATCAAACCTGCCCTTGTGCCCATTGCCCGTGGCCTGTCCCAAATGTCCACCATCAATGGCCATCAGCCTTCCATTTGTGCCATCACCCAGGTACTGTTGTGATGTTGTGCCTGTCCCATGTGCCCATCACCCGTGGTACTGTGTGCCCATTGCATGTGGCATCAAGTCTCCTCCTTCCCCAGCTGGTGGCACTGACCCGGTGGCGTGGGGAGCCATGCTGGAGGACGATCGTCTCACCTGGCCTCCTTCCAAGGTAGGCTTCCCTCCATCCCAGGCCCCTCCAGACAATCTGAGGTGCCAAGAGCTGCAGTGGGTCCCTGCTCCCACCCTATTCCTGCCACTCTTGTGCCACATCATCTAAGTGTTCTTCTTTCCTCCAGGACCTGAAAGAGGCCAAGGACATGGAGGGGGAGCAGGGAGCACCAGGCGGTGCAGGCAGCACACACAGCTCTGGATCACTGTGATTCCACCCCAAAACGTGTGGAGAGGAGCCAAAGGGGAGCATGTCCCCATAACCCTAATGAACTGGGACACCTCTCTGGAGATGCAACTGCAGCACTTGCCCTCAATCCCCCATTTCCCACTGTCCAACCCCAAAACCAAAAAAAACCCCTTGGTTCTCCCTTGGCTCCTGCCCTTTTCCCATGGGTGGGTACTGCACTCCCATCCTGCCCCTGCGGTGCTGTTTTAATGAGGAATTTTATTAACGAGGTCCCCGCTGTTATTAGTGTCGATCACCTGAGATTTCTCCCCGAAAAATCCTGGTTTTGGGGCTGAGCTGAGCACGGGATGATATTTTTAGCCTCTATATTTAGGCCCCTGCATCCCTGGAGGTTGGAAGAAACTTCATAACATCCCAGCGTGAAGGAATGATGTGACATTGCTCCTCTCCTACCCCCCTCCATAAGCTGAGATACCTCCATGGAATGCTGGGGGGCATGCAAGGGCCCCCCAGTCCTATTCCCACCTATGAAATTCGTATTTTCCCACACAGTGCAGTTTCGAAATCCCCTCCAAAAAGTGGGGTTTGCGTCGAAGCCGGCTGCTCTATTTTTGGAGAGGACTGAACCCCCCCATCCATGCTCACCCCGTTTTTACCCCCTCTTTCCTGTTTTCCATCGCCATATGTGGAGCTCGCCCACGGCACGGGGCATGACAGCGGCTCCCCTGGGAAAAACAGGAAGGAGGGATGGGGAAAAAAAGCTGGCGGGGACCCCGTGCCGGGGCTGATGCCAACCAGCTACGCCTTGACCCCCCTGCAGCACCGCCTCGCCGGCTGCCGGCTCCTGCCTCGGCAGCCGGCAGCACTGCCCGCCCAGGGCATCGTTCCAGCATCCAATTCCCTTTTCCTTTAAGGATTTTTCCCTGTTTTTAAAGGATTTTTTAACACCTCGGTGCCACCATCTCAAACCACGACGGTGGGATGTTCTCAGCAGGTCTCGCCAGCTGCACTTCCCGTTCTCCCCTTCCAAAATCTGAGTTGTTTCCCTCGGAATTCAAATTTTGGGGGTGCTGGAGCACCTGAAAAAGCATCATCCAGATGAAGGGGTCCAGGGAGGAAAAATGCAGAGCCTGGAACAGGCTCAAAACCCGCCATTAATGATTAGAAATGTTCTGGCATTTCGCGTCCCTCCTCCGCAGCCACAGCCTGCGGGAGACGGCGGCGCTCGGCGGCTCTGCCAGGACCCGGCTGCCACCGATGGAGCAGATTTTGGGGGCTAATTGAGGGACTAATCCTAATTTTGGGGCTAACTTTATCGGATCCATGACGGATGAATCACCCCAAAAACCCTTCCCACTTAACTCGCCCAAAACACCCGGTCTCCTCTCATTGGAGCAGGCAGTGATGGATCTGGAGGGTCTAAAATCCAGGGAAAAGGATCTCTTCCCATCAAAAATCCCAGCAGAGCTGCCAAGGCTTCTCCTGGAAGCTGCAGCGGGGTTTTCTGGAGCAGAGCTGTTCCCACCCCCCCACCCCGGTGTGCTGGTGGGAAGAAGTGACGAGGGAAAAGTGGCTCCAGTGGGGAGACCTGGGTGCCAGTGGCTCACGGGGGAGTTGGAGAGATGCTTGGGAGCATTTTGCAAGGGGGGATTCGGGTGCCTGGCATGTGCGGGGGCAGGGGTGACCCCCATCAACCTCCAAGTGTGGGTGAAGCAGTTGAGGGAGGTGGCAGTGGTGGGATGTGCCAGGGATGGGGTGGAGTGGAATGAGGAGCAGGGTGTCCTGGGGAGCTGGGGCATCAGGGGACAAGAGGAGCCACCACCTGCACCCAGCAGGAGTGGCCTTGGAGAAAGAGATGGAGATGGGATGGGAATGGGAACAAGGATGGTGATACAGCTGAGGATAGGGCCAGGGATGAGCGTGATGATGGAGATGGGGACAGGGAGAGGGACAGAGATGATGGGGTTGAAGCTGGGAATGGCATTATGAAGAGGATGGGGACAAGAAGTGGCATGGGGATCATGACAGGGATGGTGACAGAGATGGGGACAGGGACGATGGTAGGGATGGAGAAGGTGGTGGAGGTGAGGGGGATGAAGTATGGGATGGGGACAAGGCTGGTGGCAGCAGTGGGGACAGTGCCAGAAACAGTGATGTAAGTGGGACAGAAATGCTAACGGAGATGATGGTGATGATGATGATGGTGGTGATGGTGGTGGCAAAGAGGAAGGTCAGTGCCACCAGGCTCCCAGGCAGAATGACCCCTGTGAGCAAACTTGGCCAGGGAGAGCCAGTGGGGCCCGACTGTGCGGGTGGGTCGGGGGGTGCTGGTGCCCGCCTTGGGGGGGCCAGGCTGTTTTTTGGGGGCTGGCTGGAGCAGCATCGGCGCGGAGCCCACGGGCGATTTATGCAGTTGCTTAGCAACTCCCAAACCCGGATTAGAGGCGAGCGAGGCAGGCGATGGGGGGGCTGTGGGCTGCAGCCCCCCGCATTGCCCTGCGGGTGCCTCCTGTTTCCCGGGGTGCCCCAGCTCACCCTGCCAGTCCCAGCAGCTCGACGTGGTCTGGGGTGGCAGCAGGGTCTGCAGGGAGCACCGAGGGCTGTGAAAATGGCTGGGACTGCGGGTCTGGTGGGAGAACACCCCAAATGTGGGGGGGTCAGATGCTCCTATGAGTGGGGAAGAGACCCCCAGACCCCAGAAGTGGAGCCCACTCCTCTGCTTGGAGCCTGCAGCTGGGCACATCATCCCTGGGGTTCTGCGGGTGCTCGGTGGGATGCTATGTCCCACCATGCCCACCCTTCCTCACCATCTTCATCCATGCCATCCTCATCCTCACCCTCCTTCAGGACCAAGTCCTAAGTAGGTCAGGAAGGCTTTTTTACCCTGTGCAAACCAACCCGGGGGGCAAAACCTGCCTCCAGCATCACTGTGGGTCATGTACCCCACAAAAACGAACTAATTTCCCCCATTTGCTATAGTTTTGTCCCCCAAAAAACCCTCCACGCCAAAGGCAAGGCTCATCACATCTTGGCTCGCATCCTCTGCATGCGATGTTGTGTTCCACAAAACTCCAAGGCGAGCTGCCGGCTCCTTTAAGTGTTAGGAGGGAGTTGGAGGCTGCAAAATAAAATTGGAGGAGGGAAAATAAAAAAAAAAAATTAAAAAAAAAAAAAAAGAGGCGAAAGGGAGGAAAAAAAAAAATAAGGCACCCCTCCTTCCCCCCCAAAAGCCTGGCAGGGGTGTCGGGCTGATAGGCTCGCCCGGAGGAAAGCGCATTACGTAGGCAAGCGGCTCCGCTCAACTTGCCACCTGCGCCGGGAGAGCTGCCGGGGAAGCGAGATCCTGCCGGAGCCCCTCGCCCGCCGCTGGCCGCCCACCGCCCTCCGCCATGGACTGCTGCAACGTAGGTCCCTTCCCCGGCAGCCGCTCCGCTCCTGCCCGCGGTCCCTCATCGCTGCTCCGGGCTGGGGGCGGCCGGGGGGTTCGGGCTGCTGGGGGCGGGGGGCGCGATGGGTGCTGCACCCTCCACCAGCTCAACCCAGTCCGCGACCCCCAGCGCTGCTGCAGCCCCCCGGGCCCTTCTCCCCTCCACACCCCCACTCCTGCCTCGCACCAGTTCGGAATCCATCCCGCCGGGGCTACGGCACGGCCGGCATCCTGCGCCCCCCAGCCCGCTGAGGAAGCCCCCGGCTCATCGAGTCCAGCTTTTATTTCGCTTTTTCTTCCCCCCCCCCCCCAACCCCACAATCGCTCTACAGGTGGGATCGGGGGCTGTGTATGGATAAAGGGCTTGATTGGGGTTGCACCCCTCTCTCCTCACCCGAGGGTGAGCTCTCCTCCCTCCTGGCCACCAGCCGGTTTGGGGAGAAAACCACATCCTTTTCCCCTTTCTCCCTAATCCCCTGACTTTTCCTGCCACCTTTCCTCCCCATTTCCCCCATTTTTTTCCCCTTCCCCACTTTTCCCCTCTGTTTTCTGCCTCCTGCTAAGACAGCAGCACAGGGAAAAGCCCCCATCTCTCCTCCTGGGCACCTCCAGAGAGGAAAAGCCCACCCTGGATGTAGGATTTATCCTGCCTGGATATAGGATTTATCCTGCCTGGATATAGGATTTTCCCCTTATGTATAAGACTTTTTCCCTCATATGTAGAAATTCTCCTTCTGAATATAGGATTTCTCTCCTAGATACAAGTTTTCATCAGCTGCATAGAGGTTTTCATCCCATGGATATGGTGTTTTTCCACTGGAAATAGGATTTCTCCTATGAATATAGGATATGGCCCCCTGTTTATGAGTTTTCTCCCCTGAATATAGGATTCCTCCCCTGGATATAAGATTTTTTTCTCCTGACTATATTTTTCCTACCTATATACAGGATTTCTCAACTTGGATACAGGTTTCTGCCACCTGTATGTATGATTTCTTCCCTGAATATAGGATTTCTCCCCTGGACATAGGAAATGCCCCCGCATATATAGATTTCCTCCACCTGTATATGGTATTTCTCCCCTGAATATAGGATTTCCTCTCTCCTAACATAGGATTTCTCTCTTGGATATAGGATTTCTTGCCTGGATATAGGATATGCCCCTCCGTGTATAGGTTTTCTCCCTTGACTATAAAATTCCCTTCTCCAGATATAGTATTTCTCCCCTGGATATAGGTTTCTCCCACCTGTATATAGGATTTCTCCCCTCGATATAGGTTGTTCTCCCCCACCTCTGCATATATAGGATCTCTTTCCTGATTCTAGGCTTTCTTTCCTAGATATAGGATTTCCTTCCCCTGGCTATAGGATTTCTCCTCTAGCTATAGGATTTCTCCCCTGGCTATAGGATTTCCAGCCTTGGCTATAACATTTCCACCCTGGACATATCATTTCCACCTTGGACCTGTCCTCACCTTTCACAATGGTAAAAGAACCCGAGTAACTTTGTGGAGCCATGGCAGGCTCCAAGGGGATGAGCTTCCTCCCCCCCGAATCTGCAGCTTCCAAATAAGCCCCCCAAAACTCCTTTTAGTCCTTTCAAGTGCTCGTGGGGCAACACAAAGGCTTCACCCCCACAGCTGCTGGCACTGGATCATCCAATGCCAGCTCATTTCCACCTCATTCCTTTTCCCCATGTTTTTCTTTTTTTCCTGTGGAACTTGATGCTGAGTCCAGCTGCTCTGGTGGGATGTGGCAGGAGGGGAATGGGTTACAGTGATTTGTCCTTGGCAGGGCTTTTCCTCCCTTCTGTTGTCATGCTTTCCCAAATTTCCTGGTGTTTTCAACCAAAGCCCTGAGGAGGGATGCAGGACAATGCAACAGGCTATAAGGAAAGGGGAAACTGAGGCATGACCAGCTCATTTTGTGCAGGATGGCCCCCAGCCCCCTGCCAAAAATACCCGCCAGAACCCATCCTCTGCTCCCATGG